TTTTAATTGTTTTCACTTGCGCAGCTCTGAAGCCATAAAACAAAACATGCATACATGTATAGATATATGCACACACATGCACAATATATGTGCCAATATGGCCACACATATAATATAAGTCCCAATATGGTCACCCTAGCACAGTGCACTTCCCATAGCTGCCTTTTTTGTTTGCCATTTTGATTGGCTCATTTCCATTAAGGCTGCCTTTTATGCGCTAATTGGATCTGATAAGCCTGCCCAGAGCACAGTTATCGATTGTTGAGTACCATGCGAGTAACGGTAAAGTCTAGCGTCTAGCGTCTGCTGTCTGCAGCGACTGCAGGCAACTGACCGTGTGTTAGTGGGCGGACGGGCGGGCGTTGGGGCGGTCGCTGCAGGGAAACGTCGGCAAGTGCAGCAAATTGAAAAAAGGAATTTAAAGCGTAGTAGAAAGTGGAAAGTGGAATGAGTCTAAGGCTGCTAATCGCACAAAATGGCGGCAAAAAGCATGCAGAAAAATAAAACAAAAATTGATGCCTTTGCGCTGCGCTCTCCAATGCTCTCCAATAACAACAACAACAACAACAACAACAACGACGGGCAAACGCCATCGTAAATTTGCCCAACGTCATTTTTTTTTTTTTTTGTTGCTGCTTTTTTGTTGCCTGCTGCTGACGTCGCTGCTGCGACTGCTGCGTTTCGCTTTTTACTTTACTTGTTTTTTTGTTTTTGTTGTTTCTCTTTTTCTTTTTTTTTTTTTTTTTTTTGCAAGCACTTTGTGCATTTTATGGTTGCCCTGGCAATGGACCCGCCTTCTTTTGCTGACTTCACCTATCGCAGCGTCCGTTGCACGACTGCGATGACGACAAACGGCAAACAGCAATGTCCATGGCCAGCAGCTGCAGCCAAAGCGAGAGAGCGCCACTGCCGCTCTCCAATGCTCTCAGCGCTTGTGTGAGAGTGTGACTGTGTGTCTGTGGCTGTGTCGGTGTTGGTGTTGGTGTTGGTGTCGGTGCCTGTGCACTTGCCAGCTCCCTTTTCCACACACACATACATACACACTGTATGCAAGCAGCAGCAGCAGCAGCGACACCAGCAGCCTCCAGCAGCTCTCGCACTCTTGCGCCGCCTGCTCTCTGCCCGTGTGCACGTAGTTTATTTGTGTGCGACGCTTTTTGTTTCTTTTTGCCATTTTTGTTGTTTTGTTTTCGTTTTGCTTTGCACACTGCGCTTTAAATTTGATTTGCAATGCAGCATTTAATGCACATTGTTTGAGCTCGCCTTGCAACGGTGAAGCTGAAGCTTAAGCTCTAATAGCTATAGACATTGCTATCCCGCTCTCTCGCTCTCTCTCTCTCTCTCTCTCTCCGTCTCGCTCGCACTGTTCAATTAGCCCCACTCGCAGCGTTGCCACCATAAATAATTTGCAACTCATTTTGCAGATGGTTTTTATGAATTGCCGTGCAATTTTTAATGAAATTTATCGCGCTTATCTGCGCGCATTAATCAAACCGAATTCGCACAGTTATCAGAAAGCGAGCGAAGGACCCAAAAGACCGAACGACCGAACGACCGAACGACCGCCCGGGCCGCAACAATAAATAAGCAGCAGCAGCAACAACAACATCCGCTGCGGAACTGACTGTTGCGCCGCAGCGGAGGTCGCTAATTTAAACCAAATGAATTGGCACATTTTTCACTTTTTCAGCCCCTGCCACAGCCACCTTTGGCCAAATGAGCAGGCCAAATGCCAGGCGATGCCATCAGCAAAACACTGGCAACACTGGCAACACTGGCGCAACAGTCGCGCCAGCAAAGGTGCCAACAACAACAGCGTTGCCAGCGTAGTCACTTAATCCATGCCGCGATAAAAATCTCGAAAATCCAACTTAAGTGTTTGGTAATTTATCTCGCTGCGAGCGAGCGTAACCCGCCCCCACTCTGCTGGCATACGCGACATTTTTTGCATATAATCGCCGCTTCTCTCTCCTCCTTCTGCTCCTCCGCTTCCGCATACTTCTCACACTTGGCTCGTCAATCGTCAGCCGTCGCTCGTCGGCCGTCTGTCTGCTGTCTGGCAACGTCAGTCATCAGGCTCATTCGCGCGCCAACCACAAGTTGTCAGCTCCCCCACCCCGCAAAGCACCCCCCATCCCCGTTCTAGCCGACAGAACACCAGCCGCTCGTTGTCAGTCATTTTGGCTTTGGTTTTATTTCTTTTTGGGGCTCGATGAAATGATAAATGATGAAAAATGTTGCAAAAGATTTAAAATTATCCAAGAGCAAAGTCAACATCAAATCAGCTGCCAGTTACGCCCCGCCCGGTTTCATTGCAACGCAACACCCCCCGACACTTCCCCCACTCGCCCCCTAGCTGTGGCAGTGAGCTGGCGAATACAGAATTACAAATATCCAGTCTCATTCCTCATTCCTCTCATTATATTTTGGGTATGCCGCAGCTGGGACAGTCCAAATGGCAAGCTGTGCCACGCCTACAGCCCACACTTGAGAAATGCCCAAAGTGTAAAACTGCTTCGATTCGACACTTCTCAACACTGTGACTAAAAGTAATTAGCTACTTCTAAATGAGTACACGCTTTCATAATTCTATGGCTACACCAAGTAGAATTGGCAAGGAGTTTGGCTCATAACTTCCAGTTGAAAAACTCTTGCATATTTCACGTATTAAGCTCTTTGTTAAGAGCTCGAATTGAAGTTTACATTGAGTTTCAATTAATTGGTAAACTGAATGTTAATTGATAGCGAGGGAGCTTAGCATATTCGTATTTGTTGGAAAATTGATTCAGCGCACTTAAAAGAGAATTCTCTTAAGCAGAACTGACCTTCTATACAGCCTTGGCGCTCTCTAACCTCACTTTAAGCATTCACAATAGCACGAATTGCGATCATGTGGCAACCCTGCAGCTAAGTACCGTTGAGTGTTTGCATTGCCAGTGTCCTGCGAGCGTCGCAACGATTTCAACAGTTTTTCAATTTAGCCAACGCGAAAATATGAAAATTGCTTTCTTATAGTTTTCATGGTAGAGAGCGGGTGGTGCGGCGGGGTGGGGCTATGCAAGGGTTGCCAGCCCCGCCCACTTTAAAACAGCAGCAGCTCCCATCAGTCTCAACTGTCGAATCACTCGATATACACTTAGATTTTATATAAGAGGCGTGGCATAGGGCCTGGATTCGAGCTGGTGGGGCTCACCATGTATAAGCATGTGGGCGGCCGGGATTGGGCGGGGTTTGGGTCTAGCAGGTCGGAGTTTTAAATAGCCATTAGCGAAAACGCTTATTAAAAATTTACATTTCATTCCACTTTAGAGCTGAGCAAGCGAGCGAGCGAGCGAGGCGACGACGTCGAGAGCGAAGAGCGGGCAACTGTGCGGGACAAGGTCCTGATGCGGCAGCCTTGGCGGCGGGTTCATGACGACGCTGCTGGCTGCAAAATTCATTTTGGCTCGAGCGGCCGGGCGCACTTCCCAGCTGGTCCAGGCTTCCTGCCAGCCAAATCAACCCCAACCGCATGCCAACCCTGTTGATGGGGTTAAATTTTTGGCTGCTGTTGGCTGCTTCTTCTTGCGCTCCTTGCTGTTGTTGTTGTTGTTGTTGTTGTTGTTGTGTCTTTAGGTGTTCATGCCAAGTTAATTTAATAATAAAACTGAAATTTAATTCATTTGTGGATAGGCCAAGGCCCTTAGCCCTCAGCCCGCCTCCGTTTGCCTCGAGTGCTTTTTTATGCAGCTGCAGAGAGAGAGAGAGAGAGAGAGGGAGAGAGAGAGAGTGGGGCCTGCCCAATTGAGGTCCATTCAGCGACGCAAAGGTCCTCAGGGATAAGCCTTGCCCAAAATTGGCGCCTCAACGGCCCCGCCCCCCTCCCCTACCGAACTGCAGTTCGAGCTGTTGGCAACGTCTTTTGCTTGTTTTTAATAATATTTTCCAGTTATCTGACCTTTTTCTTGTGCTGGCACAAAACATTTTGATGGCTTGCGGCCATAACCAAAAATTGCGGAAATGCTGGCCCCTTCTCTTTCCCCTCCCACCGCCCACTTTGCAATCGAGTGACTCTCGTCCCCTTCCCACCCACCGCCCAACCTGAAACGATTTTAATTATGCGCCACGCTTTAAACTAACAAAGTGGAAAACTAAGCTTTAAGAAAATCTATCAAGCCACCCCCGCCCCTCCGGTTAAAAAAGCAACCTACCCCCGCCCTTGCCGCTGTCGTTTTGCATAAATATCGTGGTGGGGGGGGGGGGGGCGTGGCACTTGCAGCCAAATTGAATTGCGTACAACTAACCGCCGAATGCGCGCCGCACAATTAAGGTTGAGGTTTCTATGGCGCCCCAATCCCCCTGCTCACCCCTTCGCCGGCAACCACCTTCAGCTGACATATATGAGCCCTGTGGCTGGGGGATCTGCGGGTGGCAGCTGTCAGTGCGTTAGTCAGTTGCTGTCAGAGCAGCTCGGGGGTGTGGGGTGTGGGGTGTGGGTGATTCCGGCTCTGGGACATGTCTACCTGGCTGAGAGCCCCGTCCAAGCCGACACCAGAGCATCGGATCTCTAACCAAACAGTCCAGGGTGGCGAAGCGTGGCAGCGACAACAACAACAACAACTATAATCAGGGTAAGAAGAAGCAGAAGCAGATTCGCATAGGGATTCGAAATGTGGGCACACATAAAACATATTCGCAAAATATTATACACAACCGCAGCGCAGAGTTAGTTAGCTGAAACACTCACACACACACACACACACACACACTCGCACACACACACATGCACTCTGGCTACATGTTTGCGAGGTAAAAACGCATTTCAAATACCCTTCCGTCTACTCTCTTTGATAAGCATATATAAAATATGATAAAACATATGTTGATATTTTGGCAGTTAACTTAACTTAAAAATTTAACTTATTTCAATTTGTAAGTATTCAGGAATTTCGTAATTCTAAGCCAATTTCATGATCTGAACAATTCTAATCGCAATTTTCTCATTTCATTTGGTTTTCTTTCAGTTAGTCAACAATTTGTCCATAGATGGCGCTTTGGTGAATCAACTTTCTGGCAGCTCTGACAACATTCATGGTAAGTTATCGGGTTAAGTTTTTCCACTTGCTGTCAAGGGAAACAGATTTAAAATATTAACATTAACATTAAAAATTTGTTGTCAAATATTTAACGGGCACGCTAACTTTGACAGCACACAGAAAATCAATAGAGCTTAACAGCAAGTTAAATGTTTAACAGGCACGTTAACATTGACACAAGTGCACAAATTTAAAGTGCAAGTATATAGAAACGCAAGCAAGCTATCAATTCCATTTTTATTCACATATTTATAAAACTATTTTGGGTATAGAAGAATTAGTACGCATTAAAATCCCAAAGAAGTATCAATTGCCACAAAATATGCTCTTAATTTGAAGTAAAGACAAGTCAAATCCTATCAATCTTGAAACTCTCAAACTTTGCATCAAACCGGCTCAGACCAAGAATTCGAAACCTTTTCAAAATATATTAATGCGCCGAATGCCAGACTTGAATACAGCATAGACAAGTGTAAAGTAAATTTGTTTTGTTTTTAAAATATTTTATTTTGCAATTTCGGGAAACAATTTGGGAAGGTATCTCGCGCTGTGTGTGTTCCATAAGAACTGCATTCTATATATATATATAAATATACTAAATATATATATTTCAGGAACTGCGTTCTTTTGTCAATTACAAACGTTTGCACAAAAACAAGTCACACTTTTCACCCATTTTCCGCGACGAGTTTGGGCCATAAAAAGAAAAACCTTGTCTAGTTATATATCTAGTTACATATATATGTATGTACATCAAGCTATGTATAAATGCTGGCCTGTCATCCAGAATTAAGGGACCCAATCGTAAGCTTTGCATACTTTCAGCTTTTCAGAATCGTAAAAGCTGTTTTGCCCCATAAACTTTTGAATAGTCGCAGCGCGCCGGAGAGTGTATGCAAAGCCGCAGCAACTACTGCACGAGGCAGTCGCTCTCGAGGACGACATGGGCAAGGACGAAGAGTTCAGTGGAGAGGGGGGATACAAAGCGCAGGCAATGCCGCAACGCTTTTTAGCCGCACAACAAAATTTGATTTGTATTTCTGTGGTTTACCTTTGGCCCGGGCAACGGCAGCGCCAAACGAGCGACAGGGTCAGGAGCGTGGGGCATAAGGAGGGGAGGGCAGAGCGGCGCGGAGCGGGACCCAGCCCAGCCCAGCTGTGTCAGCAGTGTCAGTGGCACCTGGACTCGGTTTTGCCTGTCGTAGATTCTGAGGTTAAAATGTAAAATGCAGAGAATGGATTGTGCGGGTAACCGGAACAATTAAGGAATTTCGCCTGGGATGTGCCCAGGACTCGCAGCTAGCTACCAATTACAAATGGCATACGCTCCGGCAGGAGTAAAAGCCCCCCGTTTCCTTCTCGCCCCAACATGCAGTCTGACCAAAATGATTAAGTAGATTGCAATGACTAAATTTTGCGCAAGACGACGTCGACGACGACAAGACGATGACGATGACGACCTGGAAGAAGCAACTGGAGCAGGGACTAGCACTTGGCTAGGCGGGGGGGCTGGTCAGGGCATTGGCGTGTTGGCTTTTGTTTCTTATGCCTTATGCATACGAAATTTTGCCGTGAATTGTGCCCTGTGCTCCCAGGGCCGTAAAGTGTATATTGGCTTGTCGGCGATTCCGAGCCTGGCATAGACGTGCTCACATATCGTCCAAGTCCAAGAAAATGCATTCCCTTTCAAGCCAAATTGTTAAGTGGCCACAGTTTTAAAGTCACAGTCACGTCGCAGTCACGGTTTAGAAGTCACCTAAAATGCTTCCCGCCAGCTCTGGTTACATTCACATCTTTAAGTTTGTAAATTCACAGTTTGAGAGTCACAGTTGTAGATCCGAAGTTGCAGATGCACAGCTTGAGAGTCACAGCATATGCTTCGCAATATTTTATACTGTCAAGTTGAATGTCAACATTTTAGACTCACAGTCACACTTTAAAGATAAATTAAATAAATTTACAGTTTGACAATCACAATTTAAGGTTCGCAGTCTAAGTCTAGCTATAGTTTGAGCATCGCAGTTTTAGAGTCACAGCTCATAGATTGATTGAGTAACAGTTTGAGAGCCATCCTTTATGTCGACAGTTTACGACTCTCTGTTTGCGAATCAATTTTTCGAAATCCAGTTCGGAAATCCTTGTTACAGTTTTAGAGCCACGGTGTGAGAAACACAGTTGGCGAAGCATTTCTTGATAGTGCCCAGTTTGAAAGTCAATTCTTGACTTTCAAGTCAAATTTGAGTGTGGTAAAAAAATCACAGCTTCAAAGTAATTAGTTTAAATTGATAGTTTGAGAGTCACTGTAATTTATGGCTCTTTCCAAAGTGCGATCTTTAAACCAAATTGTCACGGCCCACTTTGCTCGTAAGCAGAGTATCGCGCAGTCAGGACTGGCCTAGCCGTCAGATTCTTACTTGTTTGCAGCTGTGTTTCTGCTTCTATATTTCATCGATAGCAACAACAACAACAACAACTGCAGCAACAACGGCAACAACTGCAGATTGTCACATTGGGCAACGGGTCGGGTGGTCTGGTGCTTGGGTCTGGGTTCGGCAACGGGACAGCTGTACGTGGCGACGTCTACCTCAACGACGACGTTGGCACGGAAATAATTGAAAATACGTGTTTGGGTTTTGCGGACAGCGGCATTTGCTTGACAAGCAGCAACAACGGCAACAACGGCAACAACGGCAACAACAAGGAGCTCACTTAGTGGCCAAAAGTCCGTACTTATTGGAGTTGGGCTCTTTTGCCATGCGGCGCATTTTGCATTTGACAAATTTCGTTGGCTTTGCCCGGGGCATAATAAATTTTCTAATTTCTTCAAATGAATTTTGAATATCAACAAAACGCCGTACGGCCATTTCCATACGGCTGCCATTATCGAAATTAACGTCAATTGATGGGGTCCTGCGGAATTGCGAAACGGTTTCGCAACAATTTCCATGCTTTCCAAACGTTTTCACTCGCCCAGCTCGTTTATGCAATTACTGTTGCATTTACTTTTAAAACTGTCATTAGACGCCCGCCCTTCTGGGGCCTGAGCCCTAGTTCTAGTTCCTAGCCGGTTGCCAGTCTTCGCTCGTTGGCAAATCCCCGCTTGGAAGCCTAATTCCACTGGAAATCCTTTCCATCCATATCCATTCATCCTTTCATCAAAACTCATTGCTCAAATAGAACATTCTGTTGCGAATCTGTGTAGAATCTGTAACTAGTTAGCATCTTCCACAACAAATTCACATACTTTTTATTCATTTTTCAATCATAAGCTTTCAATTGAGCGTATTGAGCGTATTGTTGTTAACTGCAAGTTTCCGTGGGCTTAGAATTAGGGTATCTATTCAAATGCCCTTCCCTTTGCGAGCGCCTGACCCTGCTCGAACGCCAAGTTCATTTTTTTGCAAATCTCTCAAAGCCATTTTTTAGCTATGTGATTATGCATTAATAATTCAACCAACTGGATTCTTATTAATACAAACATTTAATTCTTGCAAAGTACTTAGCTCTACACCAACGCCAGTCCCTGCTCGGGCGCGAGTCCCTGCTCGGGCGCGAGTCCCTGCTCGGGCGCCAGATTCTACTCAGATACCAATCGCTAGTCTGAAATGACTTTGTGATCTTAAGTTGGCTTCACGCAACTATTAATTAGTTTATTGCATGCTGTGTAAAATTTACTGCTTTCCCCGAAACATTCGAGCTTTATTTTCTTGTAATTTGTGAGGCAACAGCCTCAAGTTCTTAACAGTCTTTGGATTTAAAGCAACAGCCTCAAGTTTTTAACAATCTTTGGATTTAAAGTGCCATTCAGCTAATTGCATTGTGATTTTTCAAAGAATTTCATTAGGCTGAACTTTAAGATCCCTGCTTGGGCGCCCAACCCTGCAGGCACGCTCCCTTTTGGGCGTTTCGCTCGTCGAAGCTGATTTACGACAATTTTTAATTACCGCACTTGAATATATATATATATAAAATATATGTATAGCAGGGCGTAATGTTGGAAATGCGAAGCAAATGTGGTGAAAACTCTTTTGGGCGAAATTAGCTGGCCGAAAAAATCAATTAGGCCCGCAAGTAGAAAAAGAAGAAGCAGAAGCAGAAACAGAAGAATAAAAAAAAAAAGAAGCTGAAAAACGGAAAATAAAATCAAAATAAACAATGACTCAAGCGGACTGAAGGGGCTGGCGATGTCTGGATCGGGGCTGGGCTCTTTAAATCAATAAATCATCTGCAAGCAAATTAGTCGCACTCGAGTAGAAGGTGGGTGTGCGTGTGTGTGTGAGTGTGTGTGTGTGTGTGTGAATCAGGAGACGACCATTAGTCTTGCTTGGACATGGCTGGAGTGTCCTGCTCCTGTTGCTGTTGCTGTTGCTGTTGCTGCTCCTTGGCTTGGCTCAGCTGCCGGCCAAACCACGTGATTGGCTTTTTGCCGAGAGCCGGGCTCGAAATGAAATCCATTATATTCATGCCCGGACAAAGGCGAGCGACGTCCTCGTGCTTGGACTTTGGCGGCGACATAAAAAATTCATTAAAAGTAATAAACTAATTCCATTCGATCCTATTAAAAATCATTTTCGAATTAAGGATATTTGCATATCCTTAATAAAGTTTACCGGACCGCGCCGTGCCGTGCCGAGCCGTGCCGGACAAAGTCCCGGCCGCCTTTGTGACATTTTACACAGACAAGTCGATGAGCCAGCTTAGCCGTGGACCCACCCTCCTTCGCTACACTCTCGCATCTATTCTTATGCCACTCATTGAGCCACTTCCCCCGCCCAGCCCTCCCCCCCCCCCCCCCCCCTGCCACTTGGTGGTTGATGGCTGCTGATGAGCTCTCTCGCCTGGCATTTTGGGTTTGGGGCCAAAATCTTGTTTTTATTTGTTTGTTTACCGTCCGCAAAATGAACGCTGGCAGGCTGAGCGATGCTTGAGGGGTGGGGGGGGGGCTAGCTTTTGAGTGCTTGCGTCGGTAGCGGGTGTCGGTGGGGGGGGGGGAGATAT